TCAGATGCAGATCTCTGTCTAAACAACAGTATATATTTATCACATTAAATGTTGTTTCAGTGTACAGGTAAACTCTTTGCTGAAAGATTAAGTGTAGAAGACACTCCACTGACACACACACACACACACACACACACACACACACACACACACACACACACACACACACACACACACACACACAATATGTGTGTTTTTCTTAGGTAAATGGACAAAATAACCAAATAACTCACATTTATAATTGTTGCAAAAAATCACTGGGTAAAGATCGATATTTGTTATTAAGTGTGCTTTCACATGTGTAGTCTTCGGCTTCATTTGGTCTGGATCAAGGGTAATAAATGATCATTGTTGCATTTTCTGCCGTCTTTGGGTGGTTTTCACACCACACTGCTGGATTTGGTCCGAACCAGTTGAAACGAACCAAAATGCAGTCATGTGACAAAATCCACATCTCTCATTGGCCAGATGTTGTTGAACATATTTCCTAAACTGCTTATTGATTGGTCAGAATTCGGGAAGGAGGGAGGTTTCTTTTAAACGAAGATAAAGTGAACGGAAAACTGTGGTTATTTATAGTAGCTTAGGGCTTGTATGATTGGAAGATAGTGATTAGCAAATGCGAGACCGGCCGTAATAAATCATAAGCACGTGATCCTCTCCAAATTAGTTTATGAATAAACTTCACTCAACAGTGGTTTCCAGGTTTTCTTCAAAGTATCTTCTTTTGTGTTTAACAGAATAGCGGTTTGAACCCACTTGAGTGAGCGTAAACAGCGAGTAGATTTTCATTTGGGGTGTGAATTGCCCCTTTAACTGTGCAATAGGGTATATGCCGAAGTATGCTAATAGGACTTTTAATTTGCCAGCAGCCTGGGTTAAGCGCTTCCGGTGAACTGTATGCCAATGCAAAATCGGCGTGTTTAAGGTCAGTTTTCTTTAAAAATCAGCGATCTCCACTGGCTGAGTGATATCCAATATAGAGTGGGTCTCAGATTGTGCAAAAAGCACTGCACTAAATTACATTTCCCCCCGCCATGTCTTTATAATATGAGCATTTACTTTACCCCAGTATATTCAATGGAGCTTCTGCGCTAACCTGCCGATTCTGATGGGTGCGTGCGAGTAAACAGCTTTTTGTCTTGTTTTATGCTTGTGCACCCTGCTGAAAAATCCAGCTTAAACCAGCCAACCATCCTAGGCTGGTTGGCTGGTTTAAGCTGTTTTTTCAGTAGGGCAACTAAATGAATGCCAAAGTCTGTTTAACTGAATGTGTTTTAATGACATTACAACATCCATGCTGTGAAAGGAACCGTATAAGATGGAAAAAAGCTCACAATAACAGCTCACCGGAAGTGTATCAGCATGAGAACAACACTAGCTCGGCATATACCCTATCCATGCTGCTGTTTGCTGAGTATCTCTATTATGGCTGTGCATGCGAGTGCAAATCCTCTGAACATCCCATAATGCTGCTGCAGTCAGTGTGTTCTTCGATTCTGAAGGTAAATGAACCGCTGTGACGCATGTGAAAGGGTTACAGATGTGCTGAATCCTCATCAAAGACGCTGCTCTCAGCAAACCTGCTTTTGATGCTAATATGCTAATGTGAAACTGTTAGCATAATTTGCCACTTGAAATGAAAGTCCGCGCGTGTCTTCAGCACACAGATGACATTATTAGACTAAATGAGTTCATAA